ATTATTACAAAATCATATCACATGTATTAATACATTCACTGATTCTAAAACCTGAATCTATAGCATGTGATCGATAAGCATTAATATCTAAACTATTACAAATTCATGCCTTATTGGCTACAGGTTTTCAAGATTATGCTTGGTTACAACAAAAATGAATCTTGAGCCCAATGCATAAAAGCCCTAGGCTTACACAAAAATAAAACACAAAATGTGCATTTAGCTCCAATGTCCTCCTAAGCTATCCCTTTGGCGGAGGCATACCATCAGTACCTAAAATGTTTTTCCACATAGGGTGAGCTAAAGCCCTGTAGAGACAAGTTTAATGACGTGTATGATGTTTAATCAAGTCACATGGTAAATGCATATGAAATGCCATTACAAAACATGCGTTTTCCCATTTTTGAATCAATGTTATGCCAGAGTTCAAATCACAATTAATATCTTTGCTTCAAAATAGAAAACAGGGCAGTAAATACATACACTAGTAATCTCTAGGTACGTATCTGCAAGTAGGCTATAAAAGCACTACCAAAACCACTTTACCGGCAACCAACCGGAAGGAAGGCATCCCAACAATGTGGATTTTTAGACTTCCACTAAGGACACAAAGGCCAACTTAATTAACCACAACCACCCCTACCCCCTAACCAGATTCGCCACGGTATTCACTCATTTTTATCAAAATAACACCTTTCAGTTCATAAGTATGAAACAATTGATTAAATAGAATGCGTGAGTGAATGGGTTTCAGTTAACCTTTCAGTTAACCTAGCTCTCATGCAATTTCTATAACAAGCAATGCTATCCTCCATCGATAGCCAAAACAATTGTCTTTATTCAACATATAAATCAAGAGCATAACTAATAATTTCAACAACATCAACACAATGAAATATTTTCATCATTCCCTTAAGAATCCAATGTTCTCAATGTCCCATCTATTTTGAATTAGCCCATGTTCATGAATTCATCATGAAATTTCCAATTTCTTAATACACAAATGGTTTCTCAACGTAGAATAATTCAAGGGTTTTGATAAAAATTAGAGATTTCTCATTTTAAAAGCTATTTTCCTCAAGTTCCAATACCACTCACATTATAACCAGTCCAAAAACATTTCAAAGGAAATCATCTTGAAAGCCCCTCTAATATGAATCAAGTTATGCTTTAATCAAGTCCAAAGATTTCCAAAGTATTAATTTACCCAACTAACACATAACAAGGCTAAATAACATACAAATCATTAAAAAAATCTCTACCTGAATGCAAGAAGAAGAGATGAACAACACCCCAAAACCAACGAAGATGAAAACTCAAACTTTTTTTATTAAAACGACCCCCTCTTCAAGCTCAACCTTTAATCCCATAGCACGAAGATCAAGAAATTCACAAACTAAGGTAGATTGAAGGATTTTCGCAACGTTTCTATAGAGAGGTGAGAGCAAAAGGGAAAAAGATCTTTTGTAGAGAAAGAGATATCAAAATGTGAGTAAAAAGTGACTTTTCTCACAATTTTATTCAAACAGACTGCTCGAGTAGTTAAATTTGTGCTCGAGCATCAGACACAACATATCACTTGAGCTATCAAAACTAGGCTCGAGCGAAGAAACCAAACTCGTAGAAGTTCAACCCTGCAGAACAAACTGCTCGAGCTACGAAACCCACGCTCGAGCGAAGAAAGCAAACTCTCCAAAGTTCAGACTGCAAAAACCCAAAACTGGAATAAAGGAAAGATCGCTTGAGCGACCAAAACACCACTCAATCAAACTCAAGTTCACACAGCCAAAGTAATCACAGAAATACCAACCTCAACTTGTTTTAAACATAACTCCAAACGTAATTCTCAACTCAAAGGACAACATAGGACAAGAATAGATGTCAACAACACCAATAGATGCAAAACCCAAAACCAAGGAGTATAAAGGATCAAATCTTAACCCGGGCCGCTATAACCTCCCTCTCTTAGGAAATTTCGTCCCTGAAATTGAACTATGTCGCAGAAAACAACAACCATCGCAAATCTCACAATAACAGCATCAACTGACGTATGCTCAAAAGTATAGAAAACATGACAACCAACTCAACACAATATCCACAAAAATCTCACAAAGTGTTAACTACGCTCATCTATTACAACAAAACATAATTATAATTACAAGGAAATGAAACTTAAACATTAACAAACAAGTTCGGATACTTATCACAGACTTCAACCTCACGTTCCCAAGTCACTTCATTGACTCCGTGATGTTTCCACAACACCTTAACCAAAGGGATAGTCTTGCCTCATATGACTTGCTCTCGTGTGTCCAAAACCTGAGCTGGTCTCTCTTCATACGAGGTATCCTCATTTACCTCTAAATCAGTCCAATCTAGCATATGCGAAGGATCAGGCTCATACTTCTAAAGCATACAAATATGAAACACATCGTGAACCCAAAAAGTTGGGGCGGCAAAACTCAATGGTAAGTTACCTTCCCGATCTGCTCTAAGATCTCAAAAGGCCCAATAAACCTGGGAGACAACTTCATGCTCTTTCTGAACCTCATCGAACCCGTCTTGGTGAAATTTTAAGAAACACATGGTCACCCGTCTCAAAAGACAAGGATCTCCTTCTCCGGTCAGCATAACTTTTCTGACGACCTTGAGTCGAAACCAACCTCCTATGGATAAGTGCAACTTTCTCCGTCGTCTCTCAGACCAACTCTGGACGCAATATAGGTGCATCACCCCACCTTAGCCCAACAAATAGGTGACCTGCAAGGTCGGCCATAAAAAGGCTTCAAAAGGTGTCATCTCTATACTTGCTTGAAAGTTGTTGTTATGGGCAAACGTTATTAGAGGTAAGTGCCTCTCCTAAGATCCCTTAAAGTCGAGAACGCAAGCTGGAAGCAAATCTTCTAGAATCTGGATCGTATACTTAGACTGCCCATCGGTCTAAGGATGATAGGCAGTGCTAAAGGCCAACTTAATGCCCAAGTCACTTTGAAGGCTCTGCTAAACGCGGATCCCTATCCTAAACAATAGTCACCGAAACTCTGTGAAGTCGAACTATGTCCCTAATATATAACTCGGCAAGGAAATCCACCGAGTCCCCCGTGCGTATAGGAATAAAGTGAGTGGACTTAGTTAACTGATCCACAACTACCCAAACAACATCATTACCCCGTTAAGTCCTTGAAAAACCCACAACAAAGTCCATAGTTACATGTTCCCACTTCCACTTGGCTATAGGCAAGGGTTGTATGAAATCAACTGGTCTTTGGTGCTCGGCCTTCACTTGCTGACAAGTAAGGCACCTCGAAACGAATAAGGCCACATCTCTCTTCATTTCCTTCAACCAAAACTAGTAACAAAAGGTCTTGATACATCTTTGTGCCTTTTGGATGTATTGCAAGGCATGAATGATGGAACTCTCGGAGTACTTCTTCACGACAAGACTCTGGTACAAACAAGCGTTCTAAGTATCTCACACTCGAATCAGAGTGGACGTTCAAACCCTTTTCTACTTTCCCATTGGAGATCTTTCCTCGGATAATTTCTACCTCATAGTCGTGTTGTTGTGCCTCAATAATCGACTAACCAAAGTAGGTTGTGCAACAGTGGTAAACAAGGTAACCAACTTAATAGACTCGCCAAGACCAAGTCAAACTCACCAATAATACCAAACATCTCCCATTCCCGCACGACAATACTTGCCATACTACTCACGGAATTTCTACTCAATGCATTGTAATGTAGCTCGAAATCATTCCATTCATTTCATCTGTCTCAAATTCAAGTCTTTCTGAGAGAACATATATTTCAAACTCTTATGATTGGAAAACACTTCAAACCTCTTCCCGTAAAGATAATGCCTCTAAATTTTTTAGGTAAAGATCACCACCGTTAGTTCTAGGTCGTGTGTAGGGTAATCTTCTCATGGGTTTTCAATTGGCTTGAGCCATAAGTCACCACATTTCCTTCTTGCATCAACACATAACCCAACCCATCTCAAATCCTAAAACCCTAAACCCTGAAATGAACTTCCTCTAATAACTTTCTGATTAGAAACATCTTTACTCATTTGATAAAAAACTTGACTAAAACAAGGGCGACCTAGTGCACGAGGCTCTTGCTAAAGTGGGGTTTGAGGAGGGTAAGTTGTGTGCAGTCTTATTACCCCTATTTATGAAGAGGCTGAATAACAACTTCCATGACTTCAGAAAGAGGCTTAGACAATTTCTGAATCTTTCAATTTTTTATTTTGAAATTCTTTTTGTAATGGAGTTTGACATTTCTTACTTTGTTACTTCCATGAAGTTCTTGCTCTAAGAAATCCTTGGCCCCTTAAATAGCTTTAGAAACTTCATTCTGAATTTTGTTGGGTGTTGTGACGATCCCGCCATGTATAATATTTTATATTTAGTTAATCAAGATGATTTGGATTTTAATTAGTTATTATTTTGATTTAATTGTGAAATTGCTGAGTTAAATCAGTTTAATTTCAAGTATTGAACCATATGAGAGTTTAATTAAATATTCGATTCAGTTTCAATTTCGTTTAGTAAAAGTAAGATTTGATTAATTGGGGTCAAGTTGGAGTTAATTAAATTGTGAGGATTGGTAATTATGATTATTTTGAATTAAATTTATTTATGAGATGTCTAATTTGAATATGTAATTTATTGACAAAAATTTTGAGTTTAATTTGAAATTAAAGGCCTTAATGATGTAAGGAACCAAAGTTGATGATGAAAATAGGTTTAATTTGATATCTAGAATCTTTTGGGAGTTCGATTAAAAATCTGATTCAGAATGATAAAATTAAATATAATTACTTGGGACTTAATTGAAGTCAATTAAATTAATTAAATTATGTGGGGGTTGTGATTAATTATGATTAATTAAATTATGTACGAATCAACATTTATTAAGATTAAGTGGTGTTTAATTAAATTAATATGTGATTAGTATGCTAATTTAGTACTACTCAAATTAATTACCACATTGGTGAACATTGAGAGAGTTCTAGAAAATTGGAGACGATGGCTATTATAGAGTGAGAGAGTGGCCCAAAATGAAGATTTTAGCTGCCGCTGCCGCTGCCACTACATCCAGCGGGATTCAAAGCACACCAACACTGAAGGAAGTTGTATTTGATAACTTGGAGAAAATACCGCTACAGTGAATGGACTTGAATCAGTTTGTGCAAATTCATTTGAAGTGGACTGAAGGTATAAAATTTTCAAGAATTCCATAGAAATTCAGTTTGTCAATCAATAAGTGTATGGAAGTCTTGCGTTGAGCGATGATTACCTGCCGGATGAGGAATCCAAGTCCTGCTTGTTGCTTTGTGTTTTGTTTCCTGAGGAGGCTAACGTCTCAGTAGAAATTTTGGTTCGATTTGACTCTGAGAAGTTGGAGGAACATCTTTCACATATCTATAGTTTCTGTACCGGGAGATCTACTTTGAAGACTTCTACTTCTGCCGCTCCCTCCAGGGTCTTCTTCTGATTATGCAAACGCACTTCAATGTCAATGTAATCTCTCTCTCTCTCTCTCTCTCTCTCTCTCTCTGGTTTTCTGGTTCCTGTTTGTTGGTGTCTTGCCAACTCTTTTTATTGATGTACATTGTTGTGTTTACTTTGCAATGAATTCAATTTTATCAATAAATTTCACTTTTCCTGATCAAAAAAATAAAAAAATAAAAGAAATGCTGAAGAACACAATGTACAGCGTTTGTCCAGAATATTTAGCCCAGATACATGGACCCTGTTTTGATATAGAAGTGAAAAATAAAGGCTTGTTGAGTTGAGTTGACTTTTAGCTTGTGTGCACTTCAGTTTGTGTGTGCATGCTTGATGCTAGATGAAGTACCAATAGAACTCACCTTCATAATTATCATAATTAATTTGTTTTTTTTTTTTGTTGCAGTAAGTATTGCTAGCAGTGAAGAAGGCCGAGATTGTACAGGGGTGTGCTCGTTGTCCTTAGTGTTTCTGAACAGCAGCCTCACTTTGCACTATTTGGATGCTAATTTAAATAAAGTTCATGTTTACATTTTAGTTTGGCTTTGAATTAGTCATCTGAATTTGACATTTTGATATACTTGATTGTATTGTAGATTTTCATAATACCTCGTGGTCTATAGAAGAAAGTCTTTTCAACTCTAATGCTCCTATTCCAATCAATTAAATTACTTAGCGGGATAGAGTTAGCAAAAACTACTTTATTCACTCCTATTCCAAAAAGAAAAAGTCAGAAAAGCTCATCTTTAATTATTTGACAGAGTAATTGATTGAGAATTGGGGTTTTAATAATTATATTTTTGTGTTCTCATCCAATTCAAGGAGGATTGTCTACATGCTTGTGCACACACACATTAGTAGTAATTTTCCACCTAACAAAAACCCTAACAAAAACAATTGGGATTTGGGAGCAAATTTAGCAGGAATAGACAATTTGACTAAAACAGATCAGTAAAATTGCAGCCCAAAAAAACACTGCTAACTGTGCTATTGAACTGTTGTAAGGTTCTTTAATGGACAGCTAACTTGTCTTCTAAATTCTTATCATTATTCTGTCATCATCATTATCATCATTATTTATACATGTAGACTCATTGCCTTTGTCTGTCTATGTGAAAATTCAGTAAGTCAAGCCTGTGTATAACATTTTTCTCATGAAAAGGAAAGAAAATCAAAAGGAAAAGGAAAAGGAAAAGAGAAAAAGGAGCTAGTACATGTTCTTTGACACCTTTCATCCCTGGAAGCAAAGTATCAAACATTGTGCCAGCATACATCAAACCAACAAAAGAATATTTTCATCTTCTTAACAATAGAATATTGGGGTTTCCATCTCCATTGTGAAGCCTGCAGCAGCCATTTGCCTTTCCCGTAATTGTTTACAGAAAGAGAGGTAAGCTTTGAATTCTAGCTTTGCCTTTTTCAATAATTTATGAAATTGAATGTATAACTGTTGTCCATTGCTTATTTTATTCATAATGCAAAGGTAACTACGTCTGAGTTGAGTTGAATTGTGTAAAAAGCTAACTGTATGTCTACATGAGTTAAGTTACATTGCATTTGCCACCTTTCATCCCTGGATGCAAAGTATCAAACATTGTGCCAGCATACATCAAACCAACAAAAGAATATTTTCATCTTCTTAACAATAGAATATTGGGGTTTCCATCTCCATTGTGAAGCCTGCAGCAGCCATTTGCCTTTCCCGTAATTGTTTACAGAAAGAGAGGTAAGCTTTGAATTCTAGCTTTGCCTTTTTCAATAATTTATGAAATTGAATATATAAATGATGCTAACTGTTGTCCATTGCTTATTTTATTCATAATGCAAAGGTAACTACGTCTGAGTTAAGTTGAATTGTGTAAAAAGCTAACCGTATGTCTACATGAGCTAAGTTGCATTGCATTCTATTCATAATGCAGAAACGTAAGGTGCATTGAAAGTCTAAATATTTTGGCATTTTCTTTACCTTAATGACATGTGAGTTGTGAATGGCATGACCCACAATTCGTATATGTAAACATACAAAAAGCAACTTAGCTCAAGAATAGTTAGCTTTTTTTAGTGACCTTTTAGTATGTAATTTTTTTTTTCTCGGTATCTGAAGTATTAAGTAGCTCTAAATTGTGCCCCAAATAACACCATATTGTCCATGCAAAAAATAAAAAATAAAAGGAAACAAAGAAAGATGAAGAAAGAAATAAATCATCTTCAATATTCATCATGTAAGTTTGTTTCAGCGAAAAAAGTTGTTTTCATATTCTAGTGTTTGGTACAGTGGAACATAGAAGTCAATGGAAGACATTTTTCAGCATTCAACAGAAGATGACCTAATTTTGATGAAAAATGTTTTTCATTTTTTAAAAGTAGAAAAATTGCAGAAACATTTTCCGGATCTAACGAGAAATACCAGTCTTACCAATGACACCACGACCCTACCATATCGTTTAGCTACCATAGAATATCAAAGATTCTATGTCAAAAATTCAATCCAAAGATTTTAAGTGTAAGAAGTAGATCCAGACACAAGCTTTCTTGTTATTAATAACAGTAATATTCTAGCAAATTTCAGTGTTGCTTGTTCAATATTTTTTCTCAGACATTGCAGATATTTTGATTTACATTGTAGAAAAGTTAACATTGTTAAATTGTTTGTGAAGCCAGTTAAGCATCAATTCAATTGTGTGATTTATCAAAAGAAAAAGGTTGGAAGTCTAAGAAGTGAAGTTGAAACATTAAAGGCTATGAGAGATGGGGTTCAGGGATTCATTTATCTAGCAATTAGGATTAGAGAAGAAATTAGAGAAGATGCCAAGCACTAGATTGAAAAACTTAATGGGTTCATAGGAAGGGCTAAAGAGTTTTTGGAAGGTGGAAGTAATATGAACGAGAGTGTTTTAATAGGTGGTTTTTTGAGTTGGTTGCACTTTTGTTTTTCTTTATTTATTTATTTTTGGACAGATGATTTGGTCACATGTTTCTGGCTAGGAAAAGAAGCAAAGGAGAAAACGGATAAGGCTAAAATGCTATGGAAAGAAAGCAACTTCAATAACAAATCCAGCTCTATACGTCCCTTGGGGATATAATTCATACCCTTAGAAAGGCTCTTGACTTATGAGACCACAAATTTAGCAATGTCAAATGACAAAATCAATTTCTTCGGAATAAATGGTATTGGGGGTTGTTCCAAAGACAACTTTGGTAAGAGAAATTGGCAAAAAAAAAAAGTTAAATTGGATAAGCTTTTGATGAGATTTTGATGGCTATAGTGTCTCGGCACCCAGACATTAAAAATATTCAAGATCAAATAGCTGATGTGTTGGGTTTGAGAATAATTGATCGGCCAAATGAAACTGAAAGATCAATTATATAATGTGCAAGACTTGAGGATGTGAACAGGATCCTTGTTATATTGGATGATGCTTTCAGAAACACTGCTAACTTTGCCATTGAGCTGTTATTTGTGAAACTGCATCTTCATTATGTATTTCGTTTGGGACTCTGAGACTCTCATTACTAAGGACTAACAATATGAAAATGTTCAGGCACATAAGTCCAAACAGAGAGTCTCTGAGACATAGCTTGTCGTACGGTTAAATTTTGTTCGGTCCTATAAGTTCAAATAAGCGTAAAATGTTTGGATATTTAGTGTCAATCATTCAATCTATTCAAGCCTCTTCAAGCTCAGTCCAGCCAACAATAGCCCGAGAAAAAAAGCCTCCAGACCAGTCCACTTTTGGCTCATTTCAGCAGCGGAACAACCCCAAAACACATGGGCAAGTGCCTCATGGACTTGGTACAACAACTCAAAGCAAACAATGGCTCAAATTCATTACTGAAGCAAAGCAAGGGTCATTTCACCCCAACAAAACCAGCTTTCCAACCTTTTCAGCAGTAGCCCACGTCTGCCCAACCCCAATCTAAAGCCTAGGAGACAAGCTAGAGTTGAGCCTAGTACCTCCCATGGCTTAGTCCAACCTTACTCGGCCTTGAGAGATCAGCCTATCCCAATTCAGAAAAGGCCATTTTCGACCCATTTCTCCCTAAAAAATCGAGGGACTAGATCATTGCGATGATCTTCAGGTATGTTGATAAGTGGCCAACTCATATCTAAGGGGGAATACTTTTGGAGTAGTGGTTTGGAAGGCATGAAAGTGCCCAAAGTCCGAGTTGGCATCCTCTAGTAGAGGAAACAAAGGATAAAGAGCCAGTTGTCCTATGGACTTTTGGATACTAAACTTAGGACAGATATGTGCTATCAACTTCATATTGGCTGAGTTCATTTCAGTCATATCATACTTTTTCAATTCTATTTAGCAACAGTTATAAATAACTCTCACTGCGAAAAATTACTACTTTTGGTAAGATCCTATTTACTACTTTTGGCAACAATCTAAACAGCTCACAAATCTGTCTTCTAAGCATTCAATGCCCTTAAACACTTGTCAAAATCTGATTAACCCTAGGGGAAGCTCAAGGCCCCCTTTCTAGGCCCATGACTAACACCCCTGCAACAATGTGCAAATATATTAATTATCGGTAAACGGTGAGATTCAAACACAATATCTATTGCATGCTCTAATACCATGATTTCGAATTATTAACCACCAACTTCATCTAAAAGCTTAAACTATTAGAGAAAGGGATAAATTTAATTATTTTTTCAACACACCCCTCACATGTGGCCAAACTTTCTTTCATAAGCGGGCCAAAGACGTGCAAATATTTTAATTCTTGGGTTGATAGTGAGGTTTAAACACAGGATCTATTGCGTGCTCCAATGCTATGTTAGATTGTTAACCACCATCTCATCTAAAAGTTTTAGTTATTAGAAATACGGACAACTTTATTATTTATATCCTCAATACACCCCCTTATATATGACCAAAATCTCATTCATAAGCACACAAAATATGTGCAAGTATTTTCAATTGTCGAATAGGCAGTGAGATTTGAACACTAGATTTAGTACTTGATTTAATATCACTTGTTAGACTAAGTTCCACTATCTCTCTTAACATTAATTGGTTTTAGGTGAACTGGTGAAAGTTGGGACGATAAGTGATACTAGATCCAAGCTCCAATGTTTGAGTTACCCAGGGTGATTCCTTGCAGAAGGAGAAATCCACCCTAGTAGGCTCTGTGGACTAACAGTTGATAATGGACTAACCATCAGAAATTCAAATTTAAGCACAAAAGTTAAGAGATCCGAAAACTCAGTCTGACAAATTTGGCAATGTCAAATGACAAAATCAATTTCTTCGGAATACATGGTATTGGAGGTTGTTCGAAAGACAACTTTGGTAAGAGAAATTAGCGAAAAAAAGAGAAGCTAAATTGGATAAGCTTTTGATGGCTATAGTGTCTTGGCACCCAGACATTAAAAATATTCAAGATCAAATAGCTGATGTGTTGGGTTTGAGAATAATTGATCGGCCAAATGAAACTGAAAGATCAATTATATAATGTGCAAGACTCGAGGATGTCAACAGGATCCTTGTTATATTGGATGATGCTTTCAGAAACACTGCTAACTTTGCCATTGAGCTGTTATTTGTGAAACTGCATCTTCATTATGTATTTCGTTTGGGACTCTGAGACTCTCATTACTAAGGACTAACAATATGAAAATGTTCAGGCACATAAGTCCAAACAGAGAGTCTCTGAGACATAGCTTGTCGTACGGTTAAATTTTGTTC